TGTCCAGTGGGAGCGGCTGCCTGGGTGGACAGGAGTATTCCAGGAGCCAGGTGATGGTGAACCCAGCCCAGGAATCAGGGTCTCTGGGGGAAGCTGCCAGGGAAACTTCTCCTTTTCAAGGAGAATGACAAGACTTAAAGGGATTTCTTTTGTGATCTAGCAGGAGACTCTGATAGCAATTTTAGCCTCCACAGGAAAAGCCTGTTCCACCAAGGCACTGGAGAGGAAAGCACAGCCCCTTCTATTCAGGGCATCTGGACACCCCTGAGCTCTGCTAGGCTCTGGGTACTTCTCAGGCTTTCTGCTCTTACTCAGGAATAGTTGAATCCTCCTTCCCATGACACTGCTGGAAGGTCAGCACAGAACAGCCTCCTCTGAGGCCTGGCAGAGCAGAGCAGTTATCATGGCAACGGGAGAGCAGAATGTGTTCTCCTCTGGCAGGGCTTGAGCTGACCTGGAGGGCTCTTTGCTGCCCAAGCTTCTGATCCTCCCCCAGCCTCCCCCAGGCCAGGGCCAGGCTGGGCAGAAGGAGGGCTGGGGCACAGGGGGGGCTGTGGGCTCCAGCTCACCCAGTGTCGGGATCAGCCTGATTTGGTCACAGTGGAGCCTGGGAATGTGAGCTGGTCATGTTCTGCACGTTATGGCTGCAAATGTCAACCAAACTCACTGTTTGTGCTGTTGCAATTGTGTAAAAATAACGGAGTGAAATGAACTGCAGATGTGATTTGCATGTGCATGTGAGAACCTTCCATTAAATCTTCCAACCAGAGACTGGAGTGGCTGGGAGTGCTGGGACTCTGTTTTTTACATGCTGACAGTAAGACCCTCTACAAGAGCAATCCAGGAGCCCTACTCTTATTTTGGGAGTGTTCTCCAGATTTATTGGTGGCTCTGCAGAGCTGGAGGAGCCCTTTGAGGCTGGGAATGCAGCTCAGCTCTGTGTCTGCTTGGCCTTTTATACACCAGGGGAAGTGTTTACATGTGTTGTAGCAACCAGGCTGGTGTCCATGGCCGTGGGCTGCGGGTGACTCACTGCCAGGGAACTCAAAAACAATGTCAGATAAAAGCCCACTCAGGGGAGCCGGGAAGAGGCTGCAATGGGTCCAAGAGCTCTGAACTGTTTGAAGTAGAAGGACCCAGAGCAGCCCAGCACCCATCAGCTGGCAGCCAGCTGCCTTTGGGACTGGCCATGGGCACCAGGGGCCCTCCAGGTGCCCACAAAGTCTGCAGATAGACAGGCCACCAGTCCCATCAGCTCTGCCAATGGCAGGGAGCTTCCTGAAGCACACCACTTCCCAGGAGGTCTGTGCTGCAGGGGCAACACACACTCCCTGTCCCCGTCCTGCTGCTGGGTGCAGCTCTGTGCTGTGGACAGAGTGGGACCAAAGTTTGCTGCTGCTGCTACCAAAATCTTCTGAGAAATGTTGTTTACCCATTGTCCTTGTGCCAGCTGGATCTGAGCTATCTGAGAGGACAGAACTAGTTTGCCTCTGCTGATCGGGAGCCAGGCTTTGAACACCCCAACAGGCAGGGATGCCAAGACCCAGGCTTTTGGACTCGCCCACTTCAGGGTCAGTGTTTTCCCAGTAAAAATAGAGTGGCTGGAATGCCTGGTGTTAAAAATGGGGCTCATTTGGATGAGTCATGAGTGAAATGAAGTGCAGAGAGCGTAGTGCCTTGCCCAGAGCGGAGCAGGGATTTGTGCAGCAGCCATCCATAAACCCGGGACAGTTCTTGATTGTTCCAGACAGGTCCCATTGTCCTCCACAGCTGTGTCTGCAGGCACATCCTGCCCACACCGGGCAGCTCTGCTTCTCTGCAGGAGAAACCTCCCAGGCCAGGAGGAGGAGACCCTGCCTGAATGCAGGGGGAATGTGTGGTACATGCAAGGGATGCTCAGCAGAAGGTGCTCATCTCCATTAAGACATGCCAAAGCTGTGGTTGTTCTCACACCAGCTGTGCTGCGCCCAGGCCTGCAGAAATGGTCCCTGGATACAGCTGGGCTCAGAGCCTGGGGAGTTACCCACGGCACACAGTGCTGAAAGTCCTCCAGCTGTCCCCCAGCTGGTTCTCTGCTGCTTGGGTCAGCAACCAGAGCGAGGAAGTGTCAGAGGGGAAAATGCAGGAATTATACCAGACTTAGGAGAGAGAGAATCACCATCTGAGAGCCCTGTGTGGGCTGCCCTGGCACCCAGCCCTGAGGGAGAGGGGCTGGGAGCTGGACCTGAAGGGTTTCCCAAGCACAGCTGGAGAAAAGCTCTTGGAAACAGTCCCACGCAGGAAGGCTGAGAAGGCTGGGATCTTTATGTATGAGAAGAGCTGTGGTCCCTCTGTGCTTCTGGGCCTGAGCCATGAGATGCCTCCTGATAGAGGCAGAGCAGAGGCTCAGGTCTGTGGGTGCTGCTGGGCCGGGGTTGGGCTGTGGGGACGGAGCAGGGCCGGCAGAAGGGCAGGTGAAGTGCCTGAGTGCAGCCTGTGGGATCGCAGAGCCGGGCAGCTGCTGCTCTCTGGGTGAAACACGGAATTAGGGAGAGCTGCAGGCACCCCGACAGGGGTTGCTCCCACTGTCCCACGTACCGGGAGCTGCTGCTGGCCACGTCCTCATGGCTGTGAGAGAAGAGCTGCAGGATGCTGCTGAGGCTGGATGGGAGCATTCCTGGCGCAGCCCATCTCACCACATCAGAAAATTCAGTCAGGAGCTGGATTTGCTGGTGTAACAGGAGGAAAGATGGTTATTTATGTGGAAGATGTGGGATTTTTTCTTTCTGCAGACACGTGTTCTGGAGCTCACAAGGGGCTGATACGATCAGAATTTTCAGGATATGGCCCATTTCCAGGGACAGCTGTGCCAGGCAAGAGGGGGATGCCTTTGTTCTGGCTTATTGTGTTGCCTCAGAGGGAAGGAAGTGGCTGGAGTTCCTGATGTTCTGCTGGTGGGGCAGGGTCCCTGGGAGTCTCTGGGATTGCTCCAGCAGGTGTTGTTGTGAACAGGCTCCCTGCCTTCCCAGTGATGTGGGTTTGTTCTGGACTGACCTCACCCTCTGGAGAGCATGTCTATTGTTTTCTGCTGAAGTGGCTCATCAAATGAAGAAAACACATGTTCACCACTTCACCTTAATCTCCATGAAGTGTTTGGGACCTGAGCTGTGATCCAGAGGGTGAAGAGATTTGCCCAGAACAGTTCTCTGCCCTGAACAAAACCCAGAGCCTGCAAAACCCACAAAAAAACGCGGCTGCAGCAGGCTCTGTGTTTTCACCATGGACACTGTGGCCTGCGCCACCCTCACCGAGCCCAGTGCTCTGAGGAGCTGGCCCACCACTGCTCACAAAGGTTTCCCCAGATGCCCTTATGCTTCCAGAAAGGAACAGCACCCTCCTGTGCTTGGAGAAAAATGAGAAAGCAGATGAAAGCATCTAGATGTCACCCAGGTGAAGCTGTGCTGGAGTCACGTATTCAATGAGTTGTGTCAGTTTTCCAGGGATGCAAGGGAAGGCAGGGCTGGGAAAAGTGCAGCAGGGCCAGGCCCAGTACCTGTGTCTGCAGGGGGAGTATCCCCTCCTGCCTCCATCCAGGGGCTCAGGCTGGAGCCACAGCATGGCAGTGACTTTAGTCAGCTGGGGCAGTGGCATCGTAGTGACCTTGGTCAGCCAGGGCAGTGGCGTGGCAGTGACCTTGGTCAGCAGAGGAGCAGCGGGGGCAGTGGGAGAGCGCTCGGGGCACGGATATGTGAACATGCCATCCCTTCCAGCACTGCAGGAACCGGGATGTCCTGTCCCGCAGCAGTGCCAGGGACGCCCCTCCTCGGGCTGGGCCTGGCAGAATGACCATTCCCAGTGTCCTGGGTTATGCCAGGGCCTATTCCTTGATTTCCCCGGGCCCTGCTCCCGCCAGTGCTGTGGATCCTCGTCCTTGCTCCGTTCCTCTTCTGCCTGCCCCAGGGCTGGAAATGGCGCCCGGCCATCCTGCTGCCCAGGCTCTTCTCCAAGCCTCAGCCCAGCAGCTCCATGTGCTGTGTGCCCATTCCACACACTGCCCTTCGGCTGCTGCTGGATTTTCTGGCAGCTCCCACCTGTCCCACCCAGCTCCATAGATCAAAACCGCTCGGGCAATAAATTTCTGAGCGTGGGCTGCAGCCCCGCTGCTGTGACACTCCATGCAGTGATGGGCTATTTCCAGCCTGTCCTGGGATGGGAGAGGTGATTCATTGCAGCAGGGATGCATGCTATGTGCTGCTTAGATGAAAACCAATCCTGCTCCAGACCTGTGCCCCTCTCCGAGGCACATGCTTGTCCTCTGCCACTGGGATCAGAAACTTGGCTGGCCTGGGCACGTGGAGAAGCTGAATGAATCCAGCCCTGTCCCGAGCAGAGCAGTGTAACCCAGCACACTGGGTCAGGGCCACTGTCTCCACCATCTCCAGATATGGGCTTGGGCAAACTCCTTAACTTACTTCCCAGCAGAGAAGTGGGAAGAATAGGGTGGCCTGCTGCATCCCAAGAGATGTCCCAGCCCCACACCTGAATTCTACAGGCATTGGGAAAGTCTGAGTGCAGACCGGGATCAGCCAGGCCAGCGTGTGCATGCCAGCAGTGTGGCCGAGATCCCAGCTCCAGCCATGCCTCTGCTCAAGGGGCTGTGATGGCCAGGTCCTGGGATAAAGATGAAACTGGAGGGGACGGGACTGTGACAGGGCACAGCAGGACAGGGAAAGACTCCAGTTTCAGTGCTGGGCTGCCTTTCCCATGCTGCTGGAGTCATGGATGGGTTTGGAACCAGCCCAGAGCGTGCAGAGCTGATGCCTGAGCACAAATACGGGAGAGCCCTAAGCACATCCTCATTACAGTAACTTAGCAGATGCACTAAGGGAGAGTGAGCCCAGGCCTGAGGCACCTGGGTTTCTTTAGCCAGGTGGAGGCCAAGTGGCCCTGTGGGAGGGAGGCAGGGCTGGCTCCAGGGCTGTGGGGTGCGTGTCTCACTGGCTTGGCTCTGTGTCTTGCAGGATGAAGTGAAGCTCCCGTCTAAACTGAGCATCAGTAAGTCTCTAAAGGAGGGTGAAAAGCTAGAGAAGGAAGGCGAAGGTGAGGAGGCACCTGTGGGTGAGGACCATGCAGAGGAGGACCACATCCAGCTCTCGTCAGATGAGGAGGTAGAGATTGAGGAGATTATCGAAGAGTCACGGGCAGAGCGCATCAAAAGGAGCGGCATGAAAAGGGTGGATGACTTTAAGAAGGCATTCTCAAAGGAGAAGATGGAGAAGACTAAGCTAAAGACCAAGGAAAACCTGGAGAAGACCCGCCACAACTTGGAGAAGACCCGCCATAACCTGGAGAAGAGGATGAACAAACTGGGCACCAAGATTGTGACTAATGAAAGAAGAGAGAAGATGAAGACCTCTCGGGACAAGCTGAGGAAGTCTTTCACCCCCGACCACACCATTTATGCCAGATCTAAGACAGCTGTCTACAAAGTGCCACCCTTCACTTTCCATGTCAAGAAAATAAGAGAGGGTGAGGTGGAGGTGAAAGCCACCGAGCTTGTGGAGGTTGGTGGAGAGGAGGGAGAAAACTCAGATCTGATGCGAGGGGAGAGCCCCGAGATGCACACACTGCTGGAGATCACGGAGGAGACCGACGCGGTACTGGTGGACAAGAGCGACAGCGAGTAGGACAGGCTGCAGCACGGAAGGGTTGTGGACGACAACTGAATATTTTATCACTCACATTTTGAGCTCTCCCTGCCCTGGAGCCCCAGGGAAGTGTACACAATGCATCCTTCCTACCCTGCAGAGCCGACGCTGATCCCCTACCTGCTTGGACAAGGTGTATTTTATATTTTAGTTTTAGCACACAAACATTAGGAACACGGGATTGTTTTTCTTACACTGTTAAGTCACCCTCGGAGACCATTCCTGCTGCAGCCTTCTCACCCCACACCTGAAGATGGACTTTGAGCGACAGGACCCTGGCCCAGCTGGAGAGTGCTGAACCCAAGATAATGACTGTACAGCTGGAAAGCTCGAGTCCTCCATAAGCAAAACCTGGCATCAAGAAAGCTTCCTGCAACTAGCCCACCAACTCACGGACCCCCGTGCCAGGTGTGTGGCTGCCCCGCAGTCAGGAAGAACCCCAGCACCCACACTGGCCACTCCTTCAGGGAGCAGAGGAACTGGGATGCAGCCAGAGCACGGGAGGGAAGAGCTGAGCTAGTCCTGTTGATGGGCAGAGCACGGTGGGGCAGTGGGTGCTGCTCCTCTCTGTGCTCCCAAGCACCGGGTGACCCAGCAGCACCTGGGATGGCTCCCAAGGAAGCCGCCCTGCAGCTGGGGCTGCCCTGGGTGCCCATAGGGCATCACACAGCCAGGCCCTCTGCTGCTCCCTGCTGTGCTGAGGCTGCTGCTGCTCAGCCCCACACCGGCACCGTGGCAGGAGCAATGTGGGCTGCAGGCTCCCCTGCCCGGGTTATGGATCCAGCTGCCAGGGGCCCAGGGACTGGGCGAGTCCTCACCAGGGCAGGGAGCAGCACGGAGGTGGGGTGCTGGATCTGCTCCCTCTACACCCACAGCAGAGGGGACAACGGGCAGGAGGTCCATGCTCACTGCTCGAGGAGGGGGAACACACAGGGAGCGATGCCAGAGCAGCCACCATTACCCACAAGTTGTTTCCAGAGGGAAATGGGATGTGCTGCTGCCATGTGAGGCTCTCGACCATCAGAGTGGCCTTGATGCCTGTCCAGCACCGGACCTTGAGCATTTCTGAGCATCTGCTCTCTCCAGGGGTCCCGGCACAGCTCGGGCTCACGCCCACGTCCTTTGCTTTCCTCTCTGTTTCCTGCTTTCTGCAGCTTCACTCTGTGCCCTGAGCGAGGGCAGCACACAGTGGCTCCAGGGCCCTCCTGGCTCGGCCCCCTTGGCTCTCACATACACAGCCCCCACCCCACCTTCCCCATCCTGCTCCCCCCAGCACGAGGCGGCTGCTGCTCACATAACCCAATATATAAACTTGCTTTTCCTGTAAGAATTACTTTCCTTCATATTGTCCAGTGCACCCAGCCTGTCCTGGCCCCAGGGCCCTGCCACAGCCGCCCTTCCCAGAGCAGGCATGAGGCCGGTCCAGTGTGCCAGCTGCGGGCAGCCGTGGGACACCAGAGGCTCCCAGTGTGGGGGGCACCGGCTCCGGGCTGCCCGTGGGGCGGGGGGGCGGTGGTTCCCAGTGCTGTGTGAGTCCCCTGCCCTTACAGAGCCTCCTGCAGGCCCATGGGCGGTTTTCTGGCGGGTTTTCTCCGGGCAGTGAGGCTGGGGTGGCGGGAGCCCCAGTGACCTCTGGCCGTCCCCGGCTGTGCCCGGGCAGCAGCACAGCAATAAAGTCTCTTTTGTAAACCACCAGCGTGAGGCCTGTGTGTGGCATTGGAGAGGGGCTGCCACTGGGGATTGACCCCCACTGCCCCACATGGGTTTGATCCCTATGGCCCTTCCTGGGATTGATCCCTATGGCCCCACACGGGATCAGTCCCCACGGCCCCACCTGGGATCGAATCCCACAGCCCCACATGGGATCAATCCCTACAGCCCCACTTGGGATTGACCCCCACTGCCCCACATGGGATCAATCCCTACAGCCCCACATGGATTCCGCCGCGCTGCCCCCGGGGCCACTCCCCGGTTCCCCACGCGGGGGCGCTGCTCTGGGCGCGGCCCCTTTAAGAGGCGGTGGCGGCGGCGGCGGCCGCGTGACGTCACGGCGCTGCCCGGAACCCGGCCGGGTTTCCCGCACGGCTGTTCCCGGCAGTCGCTTCTCCCCCCCTCGCACCGCCCCTGCCCAGCACCGCCCTGCGGTGGGAGGCGGCGCCTTCCGGGAATAGCTGCGGTGGCAGCCCCCCGCCGCGCACCGTGACGCACCGCGCAGCGACCGCACTGATTGGCCATCGGGGCGGGGCCGGGGCGGGGCCGCTGCAGTACCGCGTTCCCATTGGCCGCTGGGCTATGACGTCACGCGGGGCGGAGCCCGGCAGCGGAGGTTCGGTCCGTCAGCGCAGCCGGACGCGATCGCCGCCGGCACCGGGAGCACCGGGAGCACCGGGAGCACCGGGAGCACCGGGAGCACCGGGAGCACCGGGAGCCGCCGCCCCGCCCGCCCGCCGGGACCGCCGGTGAGCGCGGGGGGCGAGCGGGCAGACGCTGCTCGGTCTCGGGAGCCGGTGTCCCCGGAGCCGGCTGGGGGACGGGGCCGCCCCGCGCGGGGGGGGCGGGCCGGGGCGCAGCGGAGCGGGGCGGGGGCGGGGCGGGCACCGCAGGGTAACGAGGGGGGGCCCATCCCGGCTGCCCAGTCGCCGGAAGCCCGAGCCCTGGTGCGGAGCCGGATGGTCCCTGTGGCTCCTCGGAGAGAGAAAAGCGGCGGGGCCGGAGAAGCTGCCGCCCACCCGGGTCCGCTGCAGCCGGGCGGGGCTGACGCGGCCCCGGGGCTTCGGGGTTGCGCTGCGGGACGGTCCCGTGTGCGGCGGGAGCAGCAGGGGGTCCCAGCGGTGAGGGTGAGCTGCCCTGGGCCTGCTCCAGAGCCCTCCCTTTGCACCTGCAGGGGCTGGGAATGGCCCTGGCCCTGCCTGTGCGTGACTCCTTTTCCAGCCTGAAAGTGATCTCTGTCATCGTCGCTCCCCAGTGGAGCCTCTTCTGCTGTTTCCTGTGGATCTGTTGGAGCTGCTGGAGCGGTGGTGGCAGAGGACAGGAGGGGTGTGGGCTGGGTGTCCCGTGCCCCGGGGCGGATGGTGACAGCGTCACTCACAGCTCCTGCAGTGGGAGTTCCACTGTGATGGGGACAGCCGTGTGGGATGGTCGGAGAACTCGGCACCGTGGCTGTGAGGTCTCCCAGAGCCGTCTCCTTCCCTGTGTCACAAATCTCTTCATCACTGTGTTCCACCTCTAAGACTGGCTTTGAAATCGCTCCAGAGGAGTAGAGCCAAGTTCTCACAGCCTTTCCAAACTGGCTCTTGTGCTGCGGGAGCAATTGGCTGCTGTGTCGAACAGTTTTCCATCAGGCTGTTGATTGTGTGGAAGCAGGGGCAGCGAGGGGCTCTGAAGTGTTATTGATGGCATCCGTTGTGCCCCTGTGATGCTCCTGCTGTTGATGATGTGACCTTTGCAACACTGTCAGTGACTGAGCTTCATCCTGTTTGTGTCCCTGCAGGGGACACAGAGTCCATGGTCCTTCCAAGGCCTCTCCAGTGACTCCCCTGTATGCATTGCCCCAGGGGTCATTCCTTGTTGTGGGGGCACAGGTGAAGGGCGTTCCCAGGTGTGTCCCAGAAATAAGAAAGCAGACGGAATGGGCAGTGGCAGCGTTGCTTCCAGGGCAGCCCTGTTGTGAGTGAAGCCGTCGGAACATGCAGAGCTGTCCCAGGCTGCTGGTGGCACCGCAGAGCTCTTGTGCTCTGCCCTTGCAGTGAGATAAAGAAAGGTGAACTTTAGCTCTTGAGCTACTTTTAGCAGCTCCACTCTGAGCTCTGGATAGCGTGTTTACCCCTGGGCTTGCATCATGCCATGCTTGGCCCTGGCCGTGTCGGCTGCTCCCTGGCTCTGTTCCAAAGGTGGAGGAGAGGCAAACCGCAGGGATGGGCAAGCCCAGTGGAATCGGAAAGGTTCAACCCTCAGATCTTTACCCCAGGCAAGGGAGGCTTCCCGGCGGTGAGGCCGGCCAGGGAGAGGCTCCTGTGTGGGCCCAAGGGCTGACAGGGTCAGAGCTTCCCTGACACTGGTGACTGCTGCAGTGAGGAGCATCGCAGGGACCCCTTCCCTCCAGGAATGTCGGTCCTGCCTTCTGTGGATGCTGGAAGGAAGTGGAGCTTGGTGCTGTGAGCTGGCTCGTCCTGCAGCTGTTTGTGGCAGTGGGAAGTGTCTGGTTTCTGTCCAAGTGCCGCTGCCACATGGCAGCCTGGGAGCTTTGCTCTTGACCCCTTGGTGCTCTGCAGATTGTGGCTCCAGCACTGCCTTGAAATACCGGGATTGTGGCTTTCTTGTGGAACATCTGCTTGGATTAAGGGTCCGGATGTGGCATCTGGTTTGGTTGCTGCAACCTGACAGGGGAAAGTCTGTCTGCAAACTGTTTGGCACCAGGCATGGCAGGGGCCGCCCGGGTGGCTGCCTCCTGTGCCGTGGTGCTGCGGCACCATCCTCGGCTCAGGGCTGGCAGGAGCTGGGCTGGGGCAGCAGCTGCTGCCATTTCCGGAGGGGCTGGTGCAGCCCCCCCTGCGTGGGGGTGCCGGCGTGTGGTGCAATAGGAAATGAGGCAGCTGAGCTCCCCGGACAGGCAGGGCACTCCCCGCGGGGATGGTGGGTTTTCACTCTTGCCTGGCCTGTGCATTTGTTGGGTTTTCCCCTCAACAGCAGCTCCATTACAGGAGTGGCCTCTGGGACTGAGTGAAAGGGCTGGAGCCTCGGAGCTGCCAGGGTGGAGGGAGCACTCCCCGAGCTACAGCAGCTGAGAACCAACCCCAGAGAGCTGAACCCTCTGCAGAATGGGGGCTCTGCTGTGCTGCCCCACACACAGCCTGGCCTGTGGCTCACAGCCTGGATGGTCCCAAAAGCTGCATCACTGAAGGAGCATTTGTTGTTTGCTGAATCTTGCATGGCTGGTGTCTCTCATCCTGTTCACTCATTGCTCCATTGAAAACAAGTTTGACTCACGTGGACTTCCCTGAGGATTGCACCAGAGGGTTGTGGTTCAAGGTTAATGTCCAGTGGAGGCTGCTCCTGCCTTTGAGGCCGTTCAGTGCTATGAAGTTCTAAAAACCTCTTTAACTCGATGTCAGGTGCCAGTGTCTGTCCCCTCCCTGTGCCTCAGCCTACAGAGGATGTTCCCCCTTTCTCTCCTCACACCCAGACAAATGGGGAAAGAGTCCCTGTAGCAAACCACAGGAGAGCAGGGCACGCTGCAATGCTGCGTCACTTGCTGCAGTGACTCTGCCTTCACTTCCCGGGCACAGCTGGAGTCCCCTCGTTAGTGTTGATTTTTATTGATACGAGTCATGAACTCGAAAATTGCTCCTTCCTTGTTTCTGTAGTTTCCTGGCAGTCTCCGCCTTCCGCACTTACTGTAAGCTCCACAGCTGTTTCCCTGCCTCCTGGCAGGGCTGGCCAGGAGTGCCTGCGAGACCAGATTACAGCTTCATTCCTACCTGTTGCCAGTGACCTACCTGCCTGCACCAGCCCTCCTGGAGCCCTGTGCCCCAGACTCGTGCCCTGCCTGTCTCTGGTTCTGGCCCACTCAGTCCTCCCCAGAGGGATCACAGCTGGGTCCTGGCAGGAGGGAGCCGGGAGCCAGCTCTGAGCCACGTGTGTGCCCATCCCAGCAGGTCTCCAGAGCTGGCCAGGATGGCGCAGTGGAACCAGCTACAGCAGCTCGACACGCGGTACCTGGAGCAGCTCCACCAGCTCTACAGCGACAGCTTCCCCATGGAGCTCCGGCAGTTCCTGGCCCCGTGGATTGAGAGCCAGGACTGGTAAGGCCTTGTGAAACGCCAGTGAGGGGATGTTTCTTGGGACACCTGCCTGCAGTGGCAGCAGGGGCCTGGGCAGGCTGGAAGAGTTCTGCCACTTTCCCTGGGCACCTGATGTGGCAGGACTGGCCTCCCTCCCTGTGACGCCAAGAGGAGTGGGACTGTGCATGGAGTGGGACTCTGCATCATGTCAGACCCTGGACCAGAAACAATGGATGTGGCACTGAGTGCTCTGGTCTAGTTGACAAGGTGGTGATTGGTCAAAGGTTGGACTCAATGATCCTCGAGGAGTTTTATGACCTAAATGATTCTGTGGTTCTGTAAACTGCACAGGGGACGGCAGGCGTGACCAGAGCCCCCCTGCCCTCTGCTGGGCACCCAGGGCTCTCCCTCCCTCATGCAGGGCATATGCAGCCAGCAAGGAGTCGCACGCCACGCTGGTGTTCCATAACCTGCTGGGGGAGATCGACCAGCAGTACAGCCGCTTCCTGCAGGAGTCCAACGTCCTCTACCAGCACAACCTGCGCCGGATCAAGCAGTTCCTGCAGGTGAGGTGGGAAATGCCAGTTGGGCAGCGGAAGGTGCAGGGTGGAGCTGGTGGGAGTCCAGTGATTTCCTTGGCACGGCTCACCACCCGCAGCCCTAAAGGTTGTGGAGATCCCAGGGGTTGCCTCATGCCTGCTAACCGTGAGGGTTTGAACCTTTACAGAGCAGGTACTTGGAGAAGCCAATGGAAATCGCTCGCATCGTGGCTCGCTGCCTGTGGGAAGAGTCCCGACTCCTCCAGACTGCTGCCACTGCAGCCCAGGTCAGTGGCCAGGTATCCCAGGGCTGCCACCCAGATTCCCGACAGCCAGGATGCAGCCTGGGTACTCTGGGTGGGTGCTGTGAGTTGGATGCCCCCATCTCTCCTCTCACCCTCGCGTGAGGAGTGCCCTGACCCCTGTGTCACCGCAGAGCTGACACTGAAGTGAGCAGCCAGCTGCCCTGGCACATGTTAGGGATGGGGTGAAGACCCTGCAGAACCTCCTGAGGGTGGGAGGGAGCATCCCCGTGTCACAGCCCTGTCCTAATGCCCTCTTTGTCCCCTCTGCAGCAAGGGGGACAGGCAACACATCCAACAGCAGCTGTGGTGACAGAGAAGCAGCAGATGCTGGAGCAACACCTGCAGGATGTCAGGAAGAGGGTGCAGGTACATGTCTGCCTGGACACCTTCTGCTTTCTCCACCATGGTGCTTTAGTGCACTGAATGAATCCACATCTTTTGCCTTGCAGGATCTGGAGCAGAAGATGAAAGTGGTGGAGAATCTCCAGGATGACTTTGATTTTAACTACAAGACTTTGAAAAGCCAAGGAGGTAATGGCAGCTCATTAGCATCTGCAAACCACAGTGTGTTCCTGCAAGGAAACTTGCTGGAGGGTGTGTTCCAGCCTCAGCTCTCAGCAGGAAGGTGCTCGGGCTCAGGGCATTTGCATGGCAATTGCAGAAACCTGGTTTTTTGTTTCTGCCACTCATGCTCCCCCTGGGAGAGCTGAACCAGAGTTCTGCTGTGAGCACAGCAGTGGCATGGGGAGGAAATGGTCCCTGTGGGTGTGGGAGAGCCACCGAGGTGCTTGGAGGCTGTGTCAGATTCCTCCTTGACTGTCGGGGGGCTTTCAGGGTGCCTGCACTTTGCCGTGGGAGTGTTGTGTCACTTGGGAGGGCGGGAAGAGTCCGTGTGTGTGTGTGTGTCTGAAGCTTCTCACCTCTGCACAGACATGCAGGACCTGAACGGGAACAACCAGTCGGTGACCCGTCAGAAGATGCAGCAGCTGGAGCAGATGCTGACGGCACTGGACCAGATGCGCAGGGTACGTGGGGCATCCAGCCCTCCAGATCTCCTCAGGTGCAGATCCTCCTCCTTCAGGGTTGGAGTTTGGTGTTCCTGCATGGCCAGAACCAGAGCAGTGCTGGAAACACAGCCCTGGGCGACTTCTTCCTTGTCTGTGAATGTGAAACTGGCAGTCACAGGGTGCCGAAGGTTCTGCTTTCTCTCTTGGCAGGGCATAGTGAGCGAGCTGGCCGGGCTGCTGTCGGCCATGGAGTACGTGCAGAAGATGCTGGCGGATGAGGAACTGGCAGACTGGAAGAGGCGGCAGCAGATTGCCTGCATTGGTGGCCCACCCAATATCTGCCTGGACCGCCTCGAGAACTGGTGAGAGCTGGCTGGGGCTGTGTCTGCCTCAGAGCAGTGGCACTCACACACCTGCCATGGAAACAAGCTCTTTGCCTCTGGAAATATCCTTGTAAAATGGCTTCCAGTGCCTGCACATGTCAGTGTAACCCACTGGTCAGACTGAGCCTTGATCGTGGGCACCGGTGCTGGAATGGTGCCCTGGTGTCTCCAGCCACAGGCCTGGGGGATTCTGAAGCTGCTGAAAAGCTTCTGACCCTGGTGTCTCTGCAGAACTTGGGCACGTGCAGGTTTTGTTTGTGTGGCCTAGAAAAACACACTGGGCTAGGAGCCACAGACACTCTCACTTCTCAGCTGGTTTGGTCTCTGGCACGGAGAGCATCCCCTTGCTTGGGAAGAAAAGGGCTCTGCGGGCTGGGACTGTGCAGGCTTGGCAGCCAGAGTGAGCCTAGGTTCTCTCTTCTCCCCTAGGATAACCTCTCTTGCTGAATCGCAGCTACAGACCCGGCAGCAGATCAAGAAGTTGGAAGAACTCCAGCAGAAAGTATCCTACAAGGGTGACCCGATTGTCCAGCACAGGCCCATGCTGGAGGAACGGATTGTGGAGCTGTTCAGGAACCTGATGAAAAGGTGCCAAGGGCGGGCGGGGGCCATGGGCAGTCCCAGTCACGGCTGTGGGTGGAGGGTGGGCAGTGAGTGAGGTCTGACTGCTGTCCCTGTGCTGTTCCCCCAGCGCTTTCGTCGTGGAGAGGCAGCCCTGCATGCCCATGCACCCCGACCGGCCCCTCGTCATCAAGACGGGTGTGCAGTTCACCACCAAAGTCAGGTGGGTCACTGCCCCTGCAGGTGAGGGAGGGGAGCTGTGCAGGGAGGGTGGAGCAGGATCACTGTCTGAAGGAGATGCTGGTGCAGGTGCAGCCCCCAGCTTACCTGGGGAGCGCAGGTACTGGGAGGGGACGGATCGCAGAGGGATGGATCCCAGCAGGCTGGAGTGCTGCCCATGCGACTCAGTGTAGGGCTGGCTGGGGCTCTACCGTGTTCCTGGAGCCAGCTGGGTTCTGGTAAATCCCGCTGGGGAGGTGGGCGGTGGAAATGTCAGTGCATCCCTGGCCAGCTGCTGCTTAGGTGGGCTGTGTTCCCTTCCAGCCTTCATGGAGAGAGGCTGTTCTGACACTGGGCTGTGCTTAGAGCTTCCTCACCCTCTCCCAGCTGTGCCCCCGTCGCCCCCTTGGCATATGGCAGCCCCTGGTGCAGAACAGTGTGGAAGGTGTTTGTTCAGAGCCTGGTGTAGGCAGTCAGCAGCCCAAAGATCCTCAGGGTGTTCAGTGGAGTATCAGCACCTCCCCTTTTCTGGGGACAGGTCTCAGGGCTGATGGGCCCAGGGACACTGGAAGAACTGGTCCATGCTGCTGGCTGCCAGCTATGCCTGGTGCACAGGGGGTGTTTGCATGAACAGGATGTTCACACTCCCTGTCTGCTGACTCTTGCAGGTTGTTGGTCAAGTTTCCAGAGCTGAACTATCAGCTGAAAATCAAAGTCTGCATTGACAAGTGAGTCCTGTGCTCCCCTTCCAATGGCACTGGGTGGAATTACTGGGGTGGGACTTGTTTCTGCTGCTCTTGGGTCGGGCTCCATCTCCACACCAAGGGCCAGTGTGACCCCCAGTCAAAGGGGAGGGTGCAGAGTGGCAGTGGGTCCTGGGGGTTTGTCCCCGTGTTGGGGGACAGCCTGGGGGGCTCGTGGGACTGATGCTGGGATGCAGCCAGTGCTGCACACCGGCTTGTCTGCTTGGAGTGGGAAGGCCACAGCCGTGACCTGGTGTGTCTCTCCCCTTTCCTAGGGACTCCGGGGATGTTGCAGCACTTCGGGGGTAAGTGCAATGTTTGTTTTGGTCATTTTTTCTCATTTCTGCTCTTATTCTGCTCTGGCAAACATCCTACTGCACATTCACTCTGAGAGGGCCCTGTCAGCTGCAGCCTGTCTTTCCTCTTCCCAGGTCCCGGAAGTTTAACATCCTGGGGACCAACACCAAAGTCATGAACATGGAGGAGTCGAACAACGGCAGCCTCTCTGCAGAGTTCAAGCACCTGGTGGGTACTGTGGGCTCCCGGGCTGCCCCTGTTGGGCCGTGTGCTGTCGGTGCAGCTGCAGCCTGTGCCTCTCTCCACAGACCCTGCGGGAGCAGCGCTGCGGGAACGGAGGCAGAGCCAACTGCGACGTGAGTGTGGGGGGCCTCTGATAGGGGTAGCTGAGCCCTGCCCTGAGGTTGGGGGTCTGCAGGCACCAACTGGCACGTTGGCAGCTGCCAGGCCAGCCCCAAGCAGCAGTGCTGGGCCTGTTGGCCATGCATCAGGCCAGGGGTGGGTGTCTCCTGGGTGCTCCATGGTGTCTCCTTCTGCCCCAGGCCTCACTGATAGTCACTGAGGAGCTGCACCTCATCACCTTTGAGACAGAGGTGTATCACCAGGGGTTGAAGATCGACCTGGAGGTGAGACATGGATCACTGCCTGTTGCTGCTGTGGGCCTGGGTGCAGAAGAGCTCTGGGACATGTCCCAGCCTGTGCTCACATCCTCTCTTTGCAGACCCACTCGCTGCCTGTGGTGGTGATCTCCAACATTTGCCAGATGCCCAATGCCTGGGCGTCTATCCTGTGGTACAACATGCTGACCAACAACCCCAAGGTAGGGCTGGTGTGGGGAGGCAGCAGGCAGGTGTTGGCATGGGTGTGTCCGGGGGGCAGAGGGAAGCTGTGAGTGGGGAACGGGGCTGGGGCAGGACTCGGCCCTGCTTCTGTCTCGTGTCCCACTTAGGGCCATGTGTTCCCTGGTGCAGAATGTGAACTTCTTCACCAAGCCGCCCATTGGGACCTGGGACCAGGTGGCAGAGGTGCTGAGCTGGCAGTTCTCCTCCACCACAAAGCGTGGCCTTAGCATTGAGCAGCTGACCACGCTGGCAGAAAAACTGCTGGGTAAGTGCTGGGTGACTTGGCTTGGTGTCCTGCCCGTCCCTGCTGTCCCTTGGGGTGAGTCCCCACCTGTACATGCCATCCAGGAGCGAGGTCCCATGTTTAGCAGAGAAGCTGTAATTTTCAGTTGCTTGGTTTTCCCCCAAACAACACAAACCTCAAGCTGCTCCCTGGAAAGGGTGTCTTTGGAAGAACAGTTCTATTTAAATGTTCATGTTCCTGTTCTCTGCCAGGACCAGGTGTGAATTACTCTGGCTGTCAGATCACCTGGGCCAAGTTCTGCAAGGTAGAACTCCCTCTGTTCCCTGAGCACCTTCCCTTGGCTGTTCCCTTCCTCTGAGCTGTGCTCACAGCCTCTCTGTCTTTTCCTCAGGAGAACATGGCTGGTAAAGGCTTCTCTTTCTGGGTCTGGCTGGATAACATCATTGACTTGGTGAAGAAGTACATCCTGGCACTGTGGAACGAAGGGTGAGTGCCAGCCCAGAGTCCTTGGCTGGGCTGGGTGTTGGGAGGGTCCCACAGGTCCCATTCTGATGGTGTGGGGTGCCTTGTCCAAGTGCAGGTGGGCTCTCTTGGGGTGCTTTTTGCTTGTTCAGAGTGAAACCCCACTAGGAATCCTTAAAATGCCAATAGCCAGGCTGGGTCCTGCTGCTGAGCAGAGCTGGCAGGGCTCACATCCTGGAGGAGCTGCGCCTGTGCCCTGACACACCTTCGCTCTTCTCGCTTCCTGCTGCCCAGGTACATCATGGGGTTCATCAGCAAGGAGCGGGAGCGAGCCATCCTGAGCACCAAGCCCCCGGGGACCTTCCTGCTGCGCTTCAGCGAGAGCAGCAAGGAAGGTGGCATCACCTTCACGTGGGTGGAGAAGGACATCAGCGGTATGAGCTCTCCCCTCGGTGCTCTGGGTACCTGGCTGAGCATTCCAGGCTCTAAAGGAGGCTTGGGACCCCGTGATAAGACACTTGTCCTTTGTTCTTATTGCAACAAGCTCTCTGCCTGGGTTAACCCAGGCAGCCCTTTCCTGGTCTCTGCCTCTTGGGTGTCCCTGCCCACGTGCTGCCACTGGGTACGGTTGTCTGTGGCACTGAACCCAGCTGGCAGGCCCCAGTCCCCCACCCAGTCCGGGGTGCCTGGTAAGGCTGATCACAGCCTCAGGCCCATTTTGTCCTTACTGCTCTGGGGGTGTCTGAGGGAGGCTCTGCCTTTGCCCTCTGCCAAAATTCTCCTTCCGTGCGCAGGGAAGACACAGATCCAGTCGGTAGAACCTTACACCAAGCAGCAGCTCAACAACATGTCGTTTGCGGAGATCATCATGGGCTACAAAATCATGGATGCCACCAACATCCTGGTGTCCCCGCTGGTGTACCTGTACCCAGACATCCCCAAGGAGGAGGCGTTTGGGAAGTACTGCCGCTCTGAGAGCCAGGAGCACTCGGAAGCGACGGACTCAGGTAGTCGTTGACTTTCCGTGGCTCCTGTGTCACAGGGACAGCACTGTGGAAGGGCTGTCACCAGCCAGGACCCTGTGCCATCCCTGGAGGGCACAGCCACAGTGTGGAACCAGCTGTGGGGTCCCATGGAGTGGGGGCAGAGGGTGGGCAGTGCCTGTGCTCCAGGAGGAGGAGAGTGGGGTTCATCCTTAAGTGGCTGCTGACGAGGCTGCTCCCTCCTTGCAGGCGCTGCTCCGTATCTGAAGACCAAATTCATCTGTGTCACCCCGTGAGTGTTCCTGTGGGGTCTGTCAGTGCTTCGGGGGTGTTTGTGTGCTCAGTCTCCCTTGAGGAGGGGTTGCCTTCCTTTCCTCCTCTGCCTGGGCTTTGCCCATGTGCTGTGGGCCTCCCAGCCTGGGGTGATGGCAGGGACTGAGCCAGGCTCCGGCTGCTGCCCAAACCACAGCCTGGTTCTTCCCCTCTGGGGCCCCTTTCCTCTGGAGAGCTCTTTCCTCTGGAGGCCTCTGGCATGGCCCAGCGGCCCCTCAGTGGGGAGAGGGGGTGTCGGCGAGCTCTGGCCAGGCCCTGACTCTGGAGGTTTCTGTGCTTTTCCTCCCTTCGACAGCACCTCCTTCAGCAACACCATCGACCTGCCCATGTCCCCGCGCACCCTGGACTCACTCATGCAGTTCGGCAACAGCAGCGAGGGCGCGGAGGGCAACTCGGGAGGGCAGTTTGGTGAGTCTGGGGGGGCTGCAGGGGGGCCTGGCTGTGGCCACGCGCGGGCCCCGTAACCCCAGCTGTGTCTGCCCGCAGAGTCGCTGACCTTCGACATGGAGCTGACCCCAGAGTGTGCGTCCTCGCCCATGTGAGGGGCTGTGCTGGCGCGCGGGGCCTCCCCGGGCTCGGCCTTCCCACCTCCAGAGAGGTCTCCTGGATTTGTCCCACTCGGCCATGGCTGCTCTGAGCCTGTCCTTGAGAGCAGCTGGGGGCCGGGTCTGTGCCCCCAGTTCCTTGCCTGCCCCAACGGAGCAGCCCCTCTTTGGGGTGGTGCCAGTTGTCTCTGGGGCAGGGGGATGAACCTTTTTCTATTTCCTTCCATAACAGTTTTTTATTATTTTTGCTCATTCAAGTGCCTATTTCCCTCCAGTTGCAGCTGCAGTTCCTACAAATGCTTCCGCAGCCCAGGGCTGGAAGCTGCCACCCTGACTGCCAGAACCCCAAACCCTCAAGACTTTGTGAGCCCGGATTTGCAGAGGGGATCAGCTGTGCAGTGGGGCCTGCCCTCCTGCTGCCCAGCACCTCCCAGAGCTTGCAGGGTGGTCTCCCCTGTGCCTCCCCCTGCCCTGGTTTTGGCCAGCAGGACCAGCACAGGGCTCAGAGCTGAAGGTGGATGTACCTGGGCACTCCTGCCCTGCTAGGACACTGCTCCTGCTGGACTCAGCCTGGGCTTTGCTGGGAGCAGGGAGGTTCAGGAGCTGCTTGTGCTTGTCACCAAATTTCTGCTGTGGGCACAGGGCACTGGCCAGCGCCAGCAGCCCTGAGCTCCTGCTGGAATGACTGGTGTCCCTGTGGGGCAGAGGCTGCCTGGAGCCATGGTAGTGCTGCCTCCCAGCAGTGGTGCCTGCATGTGAGCAGCGTTTGCATCTGGGGCCTGTTTTGGGACCTGAGTGTAACCACAGAGGCTGCCCTGGCCATGGTTGCCCTTTGGCCAGGTTGGGGCTGGGAGTGTGGCCACACTGCCCGTACTGTGAGTTAGACGTGTTGGACTCTGGGGAACTGCTGGAGCCAGGGTGGTCAGCAGTGGGGTACCTGGCTTGTCCCTTTCCCTCTGGCTTGTGAGGGGCCAGGCATGGGATCTGCAGCTTCTTGGGGGCTTCATGTGGCATTTCTGTTTGGAGTTTGGCCCTCACATAAGGTGGCAGGGGGCAAGAGTTGAAGGGAGCAGATGGATGTGGGGAGAGGAACTTGCCACAGGGCAGCGCATAATGGAGATGTGGATGTTATGAAAAGCAGGTGTCCTGGGTTTTGAGAGGTCAGTGCTTGTGGTTCTGCACTTACCACAATGAGGGGAGCCCTCCTGCCCTTTCCATGCAGTGGGTACACGGACATGGATGAGCAGTGGAGGGGAAGGGGAGGCAGTGGGAGAGCTGCCTCCCCCAATTGCATTGCAGCCAGCAGACAGGAAGCCAGAGGGGAGAACTCCTGGGGCTGTGAGGTCCAGGCCAGCTCCCCCAAACTGTATAGGAGCAGGATGGAGGGTCCATGGCTGACCCTAGGCATGCTCAGAGGGCAGGAGGGCCCTTTGCCCCTGTGCTCACCGTAGCTGCCTCCAGCTGCAGTCCTTGGAGCCCAGGGCAGCATCTGATACTGTAAAAAAATTTTTATTTTTTTGTATATTTTATTGCTGTATCTACAGGCTTTAACTTTCCCCGAAATAAAGGCCCTGAAGCGACGTGCTCTGGGGTGTGAGCTCAGCTCTGCCTGCAGCACCCACCTGACCCCGCTCCGGGAACTGGAGCCTCAGTCAGCGAAACGCGCGGGGCTGGTGCCGCAGCTGCGGTTTGCCCCCGGCGTGAACCAGCTGCAGTGCTGCCAGCACCTGCCTGGCACGCGTGGGCAGCTGCCCCTCATCGGGGCCCACGGGGGGCTATGGCCACGCCTCAGCCCCTGTGGCTGCTTTCTCTGCCCCAGAGCTGTGCCCGGGTCTCCTCCGCTTGCGCAGAGGAAACGCCGGTGCCAGCGTGCCAGCGTGGGAGGACGGGCTGCGCTGGGGCCTCTCTGGCTGCTCCCAGCCCAGACTGCCTGGGGCTGTAGTGGGACCTCTGCCAGTGCCTCTGCCTGGTGGGCTCTGGGTGGAAGTGCCTGGGCTGGAGTTGGGGACAGCAGATCTCAGGCTCTGCAGGGTGGGTGGGTGGGTGTGCGGGGCTGGGAGCGGGGGCGGTGCCACTGCCACGTTACTCACAGAGCACCAACATCTCCACCGCTGTGGATCCCACCATAGCACTTGCACCTGTGGCCCTCCGCAACACAACAGAGCACAGGATGGTTCCAGGGTTTGTGTTCTGGTGAGGCCAAGAGGGAGAGATTATTGCTCTGTAAGAGCAGGATTAGGGGGATTGTTTCACATGCGGGTCATGTGGAACTGGCTGTGCTGGGTTGTTCCGGGTGCTGGAGGTGCCCTGGAGCCTCCTCTGCCTTCCATGTACCCTGGAGCATCCTGCTTGGGTCTGAGTTGAGCACTGAGGCCATCACGTGTCCTTGCTCCAGGAACCAGCCCCTTCAAGACCATTCATTTCACTGTCAAACCAAACCAGAGCTCTGCACAAACCCCACAAACCTGTTCCTGCTCCCAAGGCAGCTGCATGGCATCTTTGCCTGCTCCAAGTGGCACAGCCTAGGGTGTGTGTGTGGGGGGGGGGCAATTCACAGAGGAACAAGGCCCAGCCCATCCTCAGGGCCCCCATTCTCCTGCTCTAGCAGGTCCCAGCTCCCCTCTGCCAGCTGCGGGATGTGTTTGAAGACCCAGGAGTGAAGAATTTTCTTACCCGTCTGTAAACCCTGGGGTTGCCATAACCATTTGGTGTCAGGAACATGGTGTTCCATCCCACACTCCTGCAGATCAGGGATTTCTTATCTCCCTGTGCCCACTGCATCCCTCTTGGAACCTGCCCTGCTCAGCTGGGGCCAGCCCTGAGTATCAGGATTAATGGGCTGCTGCTCCCATCTCGCGGTTCCTTCTGTCAATGCTCTGGTTGGCAGCAGGCTGGGAACTGCTGGAGCCTGATGTGCAGCAGGAGAAAGTGCCCAGGGAAGGTCTCTGTGCTGGGCTGGCGAGACCCCTGCAACATCTGGGGCAAGGGGACATTTGCCAACACCCTCTCCCCCTCCTGCTGCTCCAGCCACCCCTGGGGGGCTGCAGCCCCCACTTTCTGCCTGTGCCGGGGTTGTTTGTGGCTCTGAAAGGAGGTCACGGGGTGGCTTTGCTCCTTGCCCAGGGCTGCAGCACAGCAGGGAGGAGCAGGAATGGTGTCGGAGCCAAACATGCAAACGGATTAGGGGTTTCCGTATGCAGATAATCGGCTTGGGACGCGGACACTTGCGTGACGGGCACGGGGCAGCCCCATGGGGATGGGTGGCCACCTGGGAGGGCAGCCTTATGCCATGGGCAGTCTGGACTGGGCCCCAGGGGGGAGGCCCACATGCCCCTGGGGTCCTGGTGGCCCCCAGGCCTGTCCAGGTTGTGGAATATTGGCAGTTCCTTGGGAGTAAACCAGCAGACAGGCATTAGGGAGGCCACGGCTCAGCTGTGGCTCCAGTTCCAGCCCTGTTCCTGGGCCAAGCAACTGAACAAGCAGTGCTTGCAGCATGGGGGTGGGAGGCAAAGACCCCCAGGACCTGCTGGGGACCTGACTGAGGGTCTCCTCTGCCCTCCCAGGTGCTGGGCAGGGTCTTTCCATGGGGACATGTGCTGAGCTGCGGAGCACATGCCACCACTTCCCGAGCCAAGAGTCATCCCAGTCCCTGCTTCCAGCGCTCGTAACACAACAGTCAAACATTGCATCACGCTCAGACTTTAATATGCAGCAGAGCAGAGCCAAGCAGTGGCAGTTCCCGCTGCCAGGTGTGGCAGAGGTTGAACTCAGAGCTCCAGCACAGCGTGGTTCCCCAAAGTGGACCACCTGTGAGCCCCACTGGTGGCCATGCTGGAGGGACACAACCTGCCTGTTTCCCTACAGGCATCCCATCCTGGCTCAGAGTGCAGCATTGGGCTGTGGCAGCACCAGTGCTGAGGGCTCAGCTCACCCCAGTGTGCAGTGAAGGGCCCTGGCCCTGGTGCAGCCACTGGACTGGGCTGACCCGTGGCAGCATGTTTATGGCAAGAGCAGCTAGGACAGAGTGGTTACTGTGGCAACCTGAGCTCTGCAAGGGAGAGGAGGGAAGCAGGGGGAGTGCAAGGATGCACAGGGGTTGCATGGGGATGTGGGGATGCATCACTGCAGGGTGGCAGGGCCAAGTCCTGCCCCAGTGTCCACGCTCTGGATGCCCCCAGCCAGGCCTGGCACTGGGGGTGGCATGAGACGCTTGTATCCTCAGTCTCAGCTGGGCTGTGGGTGCTGCTGGGTCCCCTGTGCCCCCCCTGGGTGCAGCGGGACTGATGTGAGGTTCTGGTGCCCACCCCAGACCCAGCTGGGCTGTCGCTGCCCCAGGTGTTCCAGTAGCAGAAACTGGATGTTTTTTTCCAAACTGGAGGAACTATGGAGGGAACAAAGAGCCTTTGCCCAGGCAATAGCGTTGCTTGGCTGCCAAGGCCGAGCTTTTGCTGGGTTGTTCCCAGCTGTATCTGAGTGGCTGGAAGCAGAAGGTTTCCTGTGGAAATTCCTCCTCGCATAAAATGCCATTTACCAGGTCTTTGCTGGAGCAGATCCTCCCCTCCTGCTGGCATGAGGCACCATGGGGCTGAGCCTGTGCCAGTGACAAGCTTCCTGGGTGCCCGTGGGCTGGCTGAGCCCTGGCAGGGTCTGTGCTGCTGCCCTGTCCCTTCAGCCGCTGACCCCGCTCTCCACAAGCTGCCCCTCTCACCAGCACCAGGGTTGGAACCCCATGGGGCCCATCTGGGCTGGTTCTCCAGTGGGACCTTTGTGGGAAAGCACAAAGCTCTGACTAATTTTGGGATTCATCTGTTTTGCATTAGCTGGGCTGGATTATCACAAAAGGGTTTTGTGGCCTCACCACAAACCTGGGAGTGTGGGGGACCCAAAGCAAGGACAGGGTGGGGCTGGGGTCCTCCATATGAACTCCTGCTTCCCAATAAACTCGAGGGGATGGAGCTGAGGCTGTGTCCTGCCTGCAGGTGACTGTGGTTGGGTGCCTGTGCCTTGTCTGAGCACTGAGCACTGCGCCCTGCACGTCCCAGGAGCAGCAGGGAGGGTTGTGGAAGAGCCTTGCATACCGGATGTGCCAGGAGGGCTTTGGGGCAGCAGCCAGAAGCCTCGGGACCTCTCCAGAGCTGCCTAAATAAATGCTTCCACTCCTGAGAAATAATTAAGACCCTCGAAATGCCACTTAGAGAGGAAGGCTACTCTTCCTGCACTCCTTTC